GGGTTTGGCACTGAAAATTTGACATATATATTTTTGTGAGTGTTGTGCTTCTGGTGTCCATGCTTAGAAATAGGATTTGTTGCACACCAGGGTTCAGGTGTGGGGTTTTTCCACTTCAGTCCTGGATTATTGGTCAATGCCACACATGGTCGATTCATGTTTTTGTGCTTAGGGGTTTAGATTTGGTGGTCAATGGTAGGTATATGCACTCATAGTGTACATGTATCCTACGTATTTGATTCGCTGGTGGCTACATCAGCTGTATATCTTGATGGAACATATCTAGGCTCACCCATATATGTAATACACCCCCATCGGCCCACCCATCTATGTATTATCCCCCACGTCGGCCCACCCGTCTATGTAATACATCCCATGTTGGCCCACCCATCTATATAATTATACCCCACCTCGGCCCACCTGTCTATGTAATAAATATTTTATCGCACCCTCAGCCCACCGGTCTATTTGATATCCCTTTCGTTGGCCCACCCGTATATGTAATACAGTGGCTCAAAAAAGTGTCCCAATGTTTGTAGGTTTTCATGTAATTGTGTTATTGCGAGCCAGGGTGTGAGAATCTGACTAAGTCAAAGGGAGGTCCCAAAAAGCTCCGCTTCTCGGCTACAATTATGTCCCCTATAGCGTGAGAATCCATTGATGCCGTGCGAAGATATGGCTATTTTAATTAGGTGACTCATTGGGACACTTTTTTGAGTTTGAATCAATTATACATAATCTCTATAATTCTAGTACTTAGTGTTTCCTCCCTTAGCTTTAATGACTGCTGCTACCCTCCTAGGCATACTTTCTATTAATTTCTGACACTCCTCCTTAGCAATCTTTCCCCACTCTACTACAACTCTCTCCCATAACTGAAATAGTCCATTAGGTGGGTCTTGATAGGCAGCAAGCATTCTCTTGAGTAATTCCCAAAGATGTTCAATGGGATTGAGGTCTGGAGACTGTGCTGGCCATGATAGGACAGTAATATCATGGTCCTCAAACCATTTGGTGGCCAACTTTGAGGTATGCTTGGGGTCATTATCTTGTTGGAAGATAATGTCTACTTCATCAATACCTGATTCTTGCATGCTTTTGAGCAGACACTCCTCCAGAATGGAGACATACTGCTCTGCATTCATCCTCCCCTCCACCTCACATAGAATTCCCACCCCATGTCACCCCATGCAGCCCCACACCATCATATTTCCTCCTCCAAACTTAAGAGTACCTTTCACTTCTTTTTCTTCAAGTGGATCTCCTGCCTTTTTCCAAACATACTCTTGACCATCTGACCCCATCCTATTGATTTTAGTTTCATCTGACCAAATAACTCTCTTCCAGTCCTCTATAGTCCAGTGCTGGTGCTTTAAAGCAAATGCTAGTCTCCTTTTCCTATGGGCTGGTGACAGTAGGGGTTTCTTCTTCTTGACTACAGCTTTAAGATTGGCTTCCTTGAGGGTGTTCCTGACTGTTTGAGTGGAGACAGTGGTAGTGATGATGGAATTGATGTATTTTGTGGCTTGAACAGCAGTAGAGGCCTTTCCAGATATAATATGATGAACAAGAGCTCTTTTGTCATGCAGAGTAAGTTTAGAAGGACGACCCATTTTGACATTTTCTTTGTTGGGAATATTCTGGTTGATAACCCTGGCAATAGTTGACTTCCCCAGACCAGTTTTGGAGGCAATCTGCCTGATAGATAGACCAGAGGTGGAGAGAAAAAGGATATTATCTCTTTGAGAAGAGGAAATAGACTTCATGCTGATTATGAGGGACATGATGTTATTGGAAGGGTTTATATATGTACAGGATATTAAAATGAGACCATATTGTCAATATGGGACCATTTATATATATATTTGTAAATGGTGTCATGTCTAAATGATCTGATTTTCATATTTTAATAGAAACTCAAAAAAGTGTCCCAATGAGTCACCTAATTAAAATAGCCATATCTTCGCACGGCGTCAATGGATTCTCACGCTATAGGGGACATAATTGTAGCCGAGAAGCGGAGCTTTTTGGGACCTCCCTTTGACTTAGTCAGATTCTCACACCCTGGCTCGCAATAACACAATTACATGAAAACCTACAAACATTGGGACACTTTTTTGAGCCACTGTACATTCCATGTCGGCCCACCTCTATATGTAATACACCCTACGTCAGCCCACCCGTCTATGTAATATTCCCCTACCTCGGCCCACCCATATATGTAATACACCCACGTCGGCCCACCTGTCTATATAACAATATTTGCCTTACATCTCTCTTCAGCCCAGCTGTCTATAATATCCTACTCTACATATCACCCAGATGGGCCCACCCATCTCCATGAATGATCATATTCCCCCGGCCCATCCGTCAACATTAAGGATATATATATCATTGGCATACATGGGCCCACCCGTCTCAATCGGAAATAATATGTGTCCTGGCCCATCTGTCATCATCGAGAATATACACAACATGGGCCCATGATCAGCTGGCCCGTCTCATACGGGATATTATGGAGGTCGGGTGGCCCGTATAATACGGAATTTGTCACTGAAGGGGCTCCTGTGCCTTGGTATTACTAGTACCAGTATCAACTAGGAGATCCTTGGGAATCTCTTGAACACTTTGGATCTCAACTGACGCAACTGCATGTGACATCGCGGCAGTGGGGAGACTCCGAGTTGAGATAGACGACGTAGAAGGCATTGTGGGATCATTGTGAATGGTCGGGGCTGTGAAACTATTGAAAGTCTGGGGTACTGGAGGTTCAGAGGGAAGTGAAATGGTAAGAACTGCAGGAGATTTGTGGCGTGTTTCGATTTGAACATGTGGTTGAGTGTACAATGAAGCACCATCTGAGTCACTGTCGTCGTCAAGTGCGGCCATAACATGATCGAGTGAATCAGTAACATCCTCTACCGTAGTGCCTGGAGTATTGTCCAACTGTGTCTTGACAATGCCATCAAAGACATAAGCATTGATTTGCTATATGATATCTTTGATGCGATCATGTGTCCATTTGACAATGAAGAATTTCTTAACAGTTCGGAAGACTGAGTGATATGAGATCGACAATATGGCTCCAACACCATCTCCCGAGAATTCTTGATCGGGAGACAGGATGAAGATGGTCTACCAAACATAATAAGTGCCTGCTCGGAGTGTATTTGAAGTATGAAACCTTACCGATGTGACACCAAATGCAATTAGGCCAGGAGTGCAGTTTACGAGCTGCCAAATCTTGGCATAGGGAGGCGGGCCACCACGTGCTTTTGGATATAACAACATTTTGCCGCAGACCGCAACCTTGATAATCTTCCAAACAAAATCTGAACAATTGCGGATACTTTTTGATTGGCCCTTACCTTTGCAATCACCAACCAGTTTTTGAATGCTCTCTTCGCATTGACGATGTTATCAGGGTAGAGTATTGGTGCCTTGAAAATGTCATACACTTTCCCCTTGCCTGCTTCCCATCCGATCAAGTCTGTGACCTGCGGGACAGAAGTACGGTCGTATTTCGACATGAAATACTCATTCGGCATGTTGAAGATGCTACCTGCCACAGTACGTAGCCCGTTGATAAATGATGACTGAGCTTGCTGCATTCCAGTTCCAAACTGTGTGAGGTTTTGTAAGTCGGATTGATTTTAACAATGCAAAGGTATTACGAACCTGATTATATGTAAAAGACGTTTGTTCGCATCCGAGGGTGCAACACAAAATCAATGGATGCGTAAAGCTCGGTTACAAGTGCGTCCTTCTCGGCTGATTTTTTCGCATAACGATTTGGATTCGAGATATCAGTTGGAGGGTCAGGACATTCAGTTTGAAAAACGGCTTTGTCGGGAAGGAACATTTCAGTGGTTATTGCGTACTTCTTCGCTGAGCCGAGAATGAGCTTCTCAATGTCATTGAGCTTAGATGAATCAGACGCAGTAGATTCAGAAGGTGCAGCAGATAGACCTGCGGAAGATGGTTGGGATGCCGATGATATCGTATTGGAGGATGTCACTTTAAGAGGGCGCTTGCAAGAACGTTTAAGCTGTTGCGCATTGAGGACATTGTTGCTCTCATTCAGTGTTGCGTTGCGCCGCTCAAGCTTGCCCTGCTGAAGTTGCAGGTATTTGATATACTAGGTGGAACATATTAGAATGCAGAACAGCGGATGAACAGAAGCCTACCTTTTGGTAGTGTTCCTTGGAAGCGTCTTCATTTGGTGGAGCTACAGGATGGTCATAGTTGTCCTCATCTGAGCTTGAATGAATACCCGAGGATCTCGATGAGTCCGAATCAGATTTGTCAGACATCAGGTCAACAATAGGAGGACAGAGTATGTGAAGTGGACGAGACCTGAGAGTATGACTTGCAGGACAAGTAAAAACTATCTCAGCTGCTGATATTTTATACGTTTATGAAGTCGAGTGCTGTAATGAAACAGCCTGCTTAGTCGCATCCGAACATTGATGTGGTATGAGTAAGTGAGACAGAAGTGAGAGACTGAACAGAAACACAGTAAAGACGCACATTAATTACTGCAGCACAATGCATACGTATTACATGTTACTGAGTATAATAACACACGTTGTGAGTCTTGGTCGGATCAACTCTCATGGATAAAGGAAGATTACTTACATCTGTACTGAAACAGAGAACAATTGAAAGGAGAATATCGGATGAGGACCCTTCAAGTTGCTTTATATGGTGAAGCATGTAAACGATTGACGTAATGATGGGAACATTTGGTTGACCACATTCCAGGACCTGTTTCATGGAACCTGTAGGTTGAGAATCAGATCATTGCTGCCACATGCCTTCTGACGTCCTGGACTTACTACTGGTGGCAGGATTCACGTAATAGATAGACGGTGTCGTGAGGACACGCCCATTGACTGCAATTGGGTCAAGGATAGCTGTGATCCCAGCGTCTTGCAAGAAAGACAAATTCTGATAATCGAGGATTCTTGGACGAAGATTTGACCATAAACATGACATTGTTAGATAGACGGTGTCGCGAGGACACACCCGTTGACTGCAATTGGGTCAGGGATAGCTGTGATCCCAGTATCTTGCAAGAAAGGCGAATTCTGATGATCGAGTACCTGCACAGATGGTCAATTCAACTGACGAAAAGATGGACAAGGGACTTACCGAACAGTTCCGAGTAGTTCTGGCTGTTGAGGTAAGGCTCTGTGGGCTCAGAAGGGTACAACTGGAGGCCCTTGACAAACCTCCAATGTCAGTTTGCTTGGACCATAGCAAGTCACTCTGCAGGATAAGAACGTGACCCATCGAAAGCATTCCAAGGCCACCAAGCTCCTTCAGCGTGTAGAAGACAACAGGAGGGAAATGGGACGGCATCTTACTGTTCAAGCCTATCTTAACACGAGTTTGGATCTTGTTCTCTGCCTTGACAAGAGAGCCCCCAAGGAATCATTTGTGTGGATGACGGCCTCACGGTAGTAGGTTATCAAACCAATCAATGCAGTGTTCCACTTGTTGATGATCTTCAAGAAAGTGTAGCTTGCTGCAAGCCAAGAATGAGGAGATCAACGACGAGTATTGGAAGACAAAGGCAGAAAACTGAAGACTGTAAAATGAATATCATTATGCTTGAAGAGACTTGACACAAAAGAACATGTCCTGCATCTATAGTGTGTATAACCAAGTGATCTCCATCCGTTTCCGGATCTCTGGCAAGCGCAGCGCCTCGAATAATAGACCGGACAGAAATAATCTCAGACGATGAGCGAGGTTTGGCTCGTACACGCCACAATCCCAAATCAACATCCTGCCTTCGGCGAACACCAATACCGACATCATAAGGATGGATGAGGGCCAGAGCAAGATCAGTATCACCAATCGAGCAGCCTGAACAAGTACATGAGGCAAGCGAAGAATGGTTTGTCTGTAGTTTTCACTGATGACGCAATTGAACCTCGGTGATCCATAGAATTTTGGGCTGCACCGAAGTAAGTCTCGGTGCAGGCACCAATCAACCATAGACTCATAGTTCACCTGCAGGAATCGGAACTCTATAATCTGCCAGAAATATCAGTGAGGATGATCAACTGCAACGAAGGTAGTATACATCGTCATCGGCTTGGAGATGAAGGGCCCTTCCTGGACCATCTGGCAAGGGAATGCCATTCTGCAGTAGGAACACGTTCAGGAAGACATGTAATTTTGTCCGAAAGTCGGTAAACGCTCTGTCGGTTCCGTGTGCATCCATGATGTCTGAAAAAGAATGTCTGCCTTGCTTTGAACCTAAGTGCACATGGACGATAGGATCCACTAGTAGTTCATCCAGAGTTTCATTTGTCTCTGGGTCGTCAGTAGCGTTTTGACTGTAGTTGTCAAGCTCATCAAGCTCGGTCCGCATAGAGGTCGACGTCAGAAGCCAATGGTCATATCGCAGGATCTGTAGCTTGTCAGTAAAACATTAGACTTATGGACTGCAAAGAACCTGAGGAGCCACATCCTTGAAGTTTGTTCGTCGAAGGTAAATTTTCCGTAAACCACCATGCATCTTCTCATTTGGTTTAGTGTTGTAGTTATGTGTCACACCTTTAGCCAAGATATCATCGAATATGTGCATGATCATGTGTTTCTTCGGGAAGTTCCAATTTTTGCTCGTTTCAGGCTGTGACTCAGGGATGTATTCCTAAAGAAAGTCCATCAGACGAGTCAGACACTCGAAGATTAACTGGCATCCGAATGACTCACCTCCATCAAATCCGAGAACTTATTCAGGGCTGCCCTTCCAGCCACAATAGTCTCCTCGGTGTGAACTTCGAATGAAGCGTAAATATCAAACTCGATATAGTAGCAGATGCAATGTAGAAGCAGGTATCCTAGCTTAGATTGTGATTGACGAAGGATGTCCTGTGCTGTAAATAGAACTAGCTTGAATTTAAAGTTTGCATCAGTACCAAAAGATCACGTTTGAGGCTGGTGCATGGCATACCTTTGATATGTCCTCATGAAGCGAGCCATCATTGAAATCAACTGACATGACAGTCTTAAAGTGCGTCAAGTTCAGCCATCGTGGAAGAGCATCAAAGCTAAGGTAGTAAGTCAGCACCACGACGAACTCGCATTTATGCAAGATTACATACTTTGCATCGAGTTTAGTAGCAGCATCCCGTCCAAGATCAGAAATCCAGAATAAATAAAAGGTCCTTCCACAAATGGTCCCCCCATAGTCCTTCGTGATTCATATGCAGGCAATCGATAGAAAGCGCCCGATGAACATCTGCAAGAAAAAATTTCCAAAATATGTTCTATTAATTTAATGAAGTCAGCGCTGAGTCTGTCAGCAGGGCACAGTAACGCATACCTCTACATTTCGAACTGAATAAGCCTTTAGAGCTTCCTCCTTTTCCTTTTCTGTATGCTTTCCACTCACGGTGCAAAGGACCTGTTGGGAATTGCAACTTGTGCGCAATACAAAGACACGATTGACCGACTGCTCATCTTGAGGGACTAGACAGACCGAACATGGAAATTTGCCTTTCACACCACAAATTAATGCCATGACACATCTCCGGTGGGTAAACATTAGACTGGCAGTAGAGTAGTAAACTAATGGTAGCACTTACTGTTCTTCGTAATCTCCGCTTAAGATCAGTATTAAGGGCCAGAGACGGTGTCGGATCTGATCCCCACATTCAAACCAGTAGCCAGTTTTCGAATGCAGCTCAATTGACTGGAGAAGCTGGTAGAAGGAATTGTGCCACACTGCATTTTTGAAGTCGACGAAGCTCTTCTTTTTTGTATGTTTTTGATCCTCAGGAACCTGACAACATAGTCAGTAATATCACTAGCAGTGACACACATTATAAGATTCTAACAATTGGCAACCAACCAATGACACGACCTCCTCCTAAGGCTGTATTACCATTGCGAATGTGAACGGGCGGGTTTGCAATGCGGGCAATGATCGGATAACCTTTTTCAGTTCCAAAAGAAGATAATTTACTTTTGTCAGCATACAGAATGAATGCCAGCGGCTTTGCGTCCGACGGAAGTTGAGACTACGACAGTAATATTAGGTAGATGAATGAGAAGCTGCAAGACATACTTGTGCATTCCAGAAGGCGTTAGCCGTCCACAGTTCATCAATGAAGCGAACAAACCATTCTCCGTTGAATTTGGAAAGATGTTGAGCATCAAATACAAAGTGAGGTGCAAGACGACGGTCTCGCAATAAATCAAGTGCCCAGTCCCAGAGAGGGCGGTAGTGCATGTCAAACTCATGTGTCTCATCCTGATGCTTAACAGATACTACATCCTTTCAAAACTAGTGTACACTACATCATGAGCTTCAATAAATGCACAAAAAGGAAATTAATTACCGGCGTATACCGTTCTGAAGCCATTTCCCACAGCAAGCGAACCTCATCGTGACTTTGCAACGTAAATATGTCCTTGCCACTGGCGGATCGATGTATGAGATCAAGCAGTCGATTTGTCTGCTCCTCAGTCATTGCAGCTTCAAGCGCGATCTCTGCAACTTCAAAGTCCAGTCGCGTCCGGAAGGGTTCCCATGGTGAGTTGTTACGAGGCACCTGGTCCTCTGAAGAGCAGCTGCAGGAAAAGTCGGAAAAGTGATGTACAGTGGGAGGAAGTTCGCTGTGCGGATGGTACTTGACTTTAATGTCATCAAGTTCATAAGTGAGCTTGTTGCGATCATTAAGATCGGGAGCATCAAAGTCAGGCAATACGGCAGCATCAGAGTCGACCAGTTGATGTCTATGCGGCGACGACCCTTGCATGTCTGATGTAGATAAAAGTTAGTCAGTCTTACGAGTTCGGACAGTGAGGTAACAATACCAATATCGTTCTCTATGCCCTCGTTCCCTGCTGCGCCACCATTGTCTTGTGTGGCCCAGATCGTGAGGGGGTTCACTATGTAGTCATAATGGTCAGAACATGAAAAAAATGAGTAGGTGTGCGCTCACCAGCAGATCCAAACTGCGCGCGTTCAAGACCTTTCTGTTGTTTATGAAGCCTTCGAAGTTCTTTTCGATGCTCTGTACCATTCAAATTGATAAGTGTTAGCACGTCAGAACATTTGATAGCTTACCCTTTTGCTTGGCAGTCCAAACTATCTCAGCAAGTTCTTCATCCTCACGTTGTTCCCATTCACGTTTTTACATTTCCTTGAATGGGATGCCAACCCACGAGCCAGAAGTGTCGTACCACAAAGATTGCACTGCGTGGTCTCTGATGATCTCTGCCGCTTTGCGGGTAGAGTCTTGGGCATTGGCGTGTATTGTGGGTGATGGATTTAGATAAAGGTGAGCGCTGCATGGCATAATATGAGGGCATATGCTTATTGTGACGACATTGAAACTCAGCTTAGGCATAACAATCTCAATGTAACCCAATCGAAATGGTAGTTAAAATTATATCAAGGGACATTGAAATGCGGGAGCATTATAATGCCCGAAAAAGATCTCCGACAGCAGCCATGAAGCAACAATGGATCACTATGTCTGTCCAAATGTCATCGAAGGTGATAGTACAATTCACTAATACAAGCCGCCGAACTATCAACTGAGTTCTCCAGCTCTCTCTTCTCACAGGCTCTGTTGTCAGAATACAGCTACAAATCGTTACTTGATATCTACTGTACAGCTAGTGTTAGACATTGGTATTGATGCTCCTTCAAATTTTGATGCTCTGCTCCCTTCTTTGCCTTTCCTCACCCGCCGAATCAGTCGATATCGTGCAGTCCAGTACCATTCTGGGGTATCTCAGCTGACAAAAGTATCATAATAGGCGGGACCCTTTTGTTTGGCCAGCTCCACCACCTGTGATTCCCACGTAAATGCTCTTATTATAGGTGATAGTAGATGGGTCTCGCACCTTTAAGGTCAGGCAAATTCAGCGGATCACCGCCTCCTTCAATATCTCCTGGATAAAGAGGGACTTTACATACCAACAGGACTATATGACTGGGTGCTGCTGCCGGCATATCGGCAAATGACGTGACGTGTTCCCAGCATCGGCTAATAATATATGAAACGTCGAGCTCGCATATCTCACGTTCAAATAATGGGATCGACACCGCGTTTCGACGACACATGTACCAGTAATGATTGTAGTATGTAGGGAATATATGTATAATGTGCAAATGACTCCACTACTCTTCTTCAGCATCGCTATGAATCCCAAGGCATGAAAAGTCATCAGCAATGAGCAGGACATCTTGTAAACTCCTCGATGCCTGCTCTACTACCTCTGCCTCCTCCTCCTCGTCATCCAGATCATCCTGGGTATCTAGGTCTAAGGCAGATGCAGCGTGATCAACAGGCGAGGGTTCAACAAGCATGCGAGCAGGAATCTGTGCATTAGGTATGCTCGCGCTCTCCCCAGGACATGTGTAAGTGCTTATACCAGGAGCTAGTGTCCCACTGAATCCCAGAAGCTTCGATATGTCGTGAAGCCGGTTGAGATGTTGTGACTTGAAGCGTCCTCGAGTGTTTCGGTGAATAGCGATTTGATGTGCGAGGGCTGGGTTGGTATCCTTCAACTGGTCCTCACATTCCTGTAGATACTTCTCTTCATTGCATATATAGGTCACCAGGCGTTGGACCTCAATATTGAGGCGTTCAATCTCCTCACGTGCCCGACATATTTTGAAGTGGAGATCCATTGCGCTACGAGCGGCAGGAGATGACCAAGGGCGCTCGGAGATGTCTACACGCGTGTCGCGAAGGAGGTCGAAGTTGGCAAGAAAGGCATAGTCGACAACTTCTTCCCATTTCAGTGTTAAGCGGGGAGGGGACAGTGTCCTAGCAATAGTGTTGTACATGTTGAGGGCTGACCTGATAGCAACGGAGCGAGCCTGTAATGCCTTGGCGATGTGTTTTCATAGTTTATAGCCTGAATACAATCAGTAGTCGCAACTCCATGTATAGTATAGAGACTTACCTGTCCCTGCTCTGTTCATTTTCGACAGTTCGAATATCTGAGCAACGATGAGACCCTCAAGACGGTCTAGTGCCCATTGGTACTTCCTGTTAGCCACTAGCCTCCCTGCATTCTGCCACTCTACATCTCTGGGAACCCACCGCTCCGTGATTTCTAGCTTGCCCTCCAGCGCTTGCACTATCTTGAGATTCCTCTCATAGTCTTCCAGTGCGTGACACCGTGCACCCTCAGTGTTGCGAGTGCGTTTGACCTGTGTCTCATATGAATCTTCAGAAGGTAATTCAACTGCTGCCATCGCAGCACCAAGCGCATCACTGCGCAAAATGTGTCAATCAGTGATCATGAGATACGTATCACAACTCACCTGCTCGCTGCAAGATTAACGAGCCTCTGCCAGTACTCCATCTGGAGTGTTTCTTCTTCAGGCTCGCGCGTTAGACCAACAAGATAGGCCTTTTCATCTTCCAACCAGCGCTTGAAAACACTCACATCAACTACCTTGAGATCTTGCATGAGTTTCAGTAGCGCTGCATTACCATCATCGAGGATATCTAGAGCTTGCTTGTAGTTGTTGTACAAAAAATCGGCTAATTGAATGAGTGATTATTAGCAAATAAATATCACGTGTCAAAATGTAGCTCACATAGATTAGCGTAGACTTCGAAGTCATTGTTGTGTTCGAAAAAAGAATTGATGGCTTGTTGGCGATGGAAAATACTCCTCGCGTAACGTAGTGCGGAGGCCAAGGAATTCGATTTCGAGAAAGTCCGTTCACACGTCTCCAGATCTTCCAGTCCCAGACCTTTGGTATACGTTGTGAGTGAGAAAAGTTGGCACAAACGCCTGTGGGCATGTCCATGGAAGGCCCCAACAAGGCAGGTGTGATGCTTTGAACGTGTGAGGGGTCCGAGGGAGCTTCTGTCGAGAGTAGTCTTGAACTGACAGCCGATGTCATACCCGCCTCCTAGATTAGTTCCAAATACATTCAGCAACTTCGAGACCACGGCCAAAGGATATTTTGCACTGCCGAGCAACAATCAGTTGATGAACGAGCTAAAAACTAAATAAAACTCACAGTTCCCCACTCTGTACCATGTCTGCAATTAGCAGAGAGAACCCATGGCGGCACATGGCCAAAAAGATGCCTGTTTCATCATAAATCCCCCATGCTTTCTTTGTTTTCGCGTCATCCATATTCTTCCAGCACCCTTCGCACGAATTCTCCCCGTCGCCTGCAGTACTAGAGTCCGATGCAAACTGGTCAACGAAGGTACGAGATAGATAGCGGTCAGTCCTGAGCTGCTGTCCCGTCGGGAGTTCACACGATGAGCCGAGAGAGTCGTCCGTATCAAACGTTCTTCGAAGGACTCTTTTCAGGGAGTCATTCCCATCCATGGCATATAGCAAGCTGAACTTTAATTTTGCTTCGTCCGTTAGCACATATGTACACACGGGACAGGCGTGTTTGAGTCACCAGTCGGGTGAGTCCCGCTGAAGCGACTCGGCTACCATGGCTGCAACCGCGCATTGAACATCGAGGTATAAGTCGAATGCGATGGAAAATTGACGAGAAAGGTATCTGTGAAATCCCACCTATGTGTGATCAGAGATCAGCCTAGAACAAATAAAAGAAGCACACACCCCACGCAAGTCGCTCATTGATTTGACGAAGGCCTGAATGGACAAGTGGGGACTCCTAAGGTGCATTACACGATAAAGATCCAGGGCTTCTGTAGTAATGCCCACAGTAGGCGATATAGGCGAGCAAGGCATCACACCTTGACGGACGAGGGCAGAGGCAACGGTGCGGTCAGAAGATAGTATCTTAACAGTAACTTTGTCAGCGTCTATAGAGAAGTACATCAATGCCGTCACACGAGTATATATATACATACACAATGGTAAGCAATTGAAATCGAAGCAAACACTCACAGAATACGTCAATGACATTGATTGTCCATTGTCCAGTAGGCTTACTCTCTGGCAGGTGAGTGTCTTTACTTTGCAGCCGGTCAAAAAAGCCGCTGAAGGTACAACAATTCAGATGGTGAGTCTGAACAATGTGTTGGGTCTTGCAGAACCTAGCTGCTATTTGACCCTAAAGGGTTTCTGGACTAGGCTCAAGGCTCAGAGTAGAGGAAATATCATGAAAACTTGCTCAGCACCCAGACTCATACTGGTAACTGGTGAAAAGATTGATTGATTATGTAAGCTACAAAAGTGCCAACATAAGGTAAGGTAAAAACAGTCTCTACAAGCCCAGCCAGAAATGAATCCCTACACCGCTAAAGTCTGCCTTGGATTTTTCCAAGCTCCAGGTAAGGTACGCATCGGTCATGGCAAGCAACTGTGAAGCAAAAGCCTGGTTCCTACGTAGAATGCGGTCACGGCGTGTACGATTATCAATATGGCATCGGCCACGAGCTCGATCCTTCCTGCCATTTAAACAGGTGCGTCAATGCTTTGCTCTCTGGTAAGTACTAGCATTACTTACATATCCCAGAAGTCTCCCAAAAGACTTGTCGCAAGATCAGCAAACTCGCCACCAGTGTGGCTGATGGGCAATAGTTCAGAGCCGTTCAAGACATCACCGAAGTCCATTTGTTCTGATTCATCCTGCCACACATCCTCTGCATTTTGGTCGTCTTTCAACGCTTCCAGAGCTCGACGTTCATCAGCGCTCATTTCTATATACAAGGTTAGTTTCAATTTTGTTTGAAATTGAAATTAGCTTTGAGCCTTGCCTTCCAGACGTATTTTCCAGCGTTCATTCGTACTTGCGGCCTGCTTGACCAACTCCCGATGCTTGAGTATCTTCGAGACTGAGTTAACAGGCAGGCCATGTTTGTCCCTCGAGGACTTGATGTACCGGATGGATTGCAAGGAAATATTTGTTCGAACACATTGCCGCTGTCCATGAGTCCCCATTGTCTCCAGCCCTCGTCCGAGTCTTGTGTTGGTAAGATTTTGTCTTTTCAATTCATGTGACTGATTATTGCGTAGTGTCTGTTCGCCCCACATCTCATTACACTCATCATGTTGCGCTGTTCGAGCCCTCCATTTACTCGCTCTCCCTCCCAAGACAATCACATCCAAGACTTGCACGATTTGCTCAACAGTATGACTCTATCAGGTATGTATTTCGTTTTAATTCTAACATCGAAATACTAAAGCTTCCTGGTAGATTCCCCATTTAACACTATCACCTGGACTCGCAACACTACCGAGTCCATCACCTTATCAGGATCTTTACACGCGCGATCTGCACACACCAGTGCTCCCAGCGGAACAAACCTTGGATCCCTGTCTCCTCCCACCACAACAACTTCTCAAACACCCCTGCAACCTCGCACCCTTAGACCATCTAACAATATCTCAGCAACTCCATATGCCCCGTCCCAAACCATTTATTCACCAACAATCACACGAACAGCCTCCAAAGTCCCGCTTGTTCCAAAGCCAGAGGAGATCTGTCCACCGCGAGCTGGTCTCAAACCTGATGGTTTCTGGGTCATCACAGTCGGACAAGAAGTGGGCATTTTCTACCACTGGTATGTGTTGTGTCATCCCTTTGGCTTGTGGTATCTAATTCGATATTTACTTCAGGGCTGATGTCGCGGAACGCACGAATTTCATCAGCGGGAATGTTCAGAAACGTTACCCATCATTCCAGGAAGCTCTCAAGGTCTACACTGTTAAATTTAATGAAGGCGGTGTGCACGCAGTCCCCATTCCAGGAGGCCCATTCTGGCCATCCTCTCCTTCACCCTCACTGTCAGCGGAGTCAGATGAAATGTGGTCACAGGTTGATGATCTGTCCGAGACCATGAGCCAGTTTGGATTTTGAATATTCTTAGTTTGACTCGCTTGTAGTAGAATAAATCAATGCATTTTTCAATACGCCTACTGCTGTCCTGCAGGTTGGTGAATACAATGTGTGATGTATGGCAATTGTGTGATGTATGGCATATCTACGAGCTAATGTACTAAGGGTTTCGTGTGTGATGCTTGCAATGACAATCAAATGACAAGCAAACCGCCATGGTCATAAATGCTCTACATCACTTACAACACTTTCTTGCAGCTTCGGTTCAAGGCTGCATGTCCGGTTCTGACCATAAAAGTGCTTCCCTTATTCAAAATATTGTAATAGGCTGTTATTGATGATCCCAGGCATCCGTACGCAGATGTTCGCTATACAGTGGCTCAAAAAAGTGTCCCAATGTTTGTAGCTTTTCATGTAATTGCTATATCATGTGTCAAGACGTGGGAATATGACTAGGATTCACTGTAGGGGCTATTCCAACTATGAGACAGTGTTACAGCAGAGTATGATGGAATCACCAAAGAGAAATACCCAAAATTGATAGAGAATATGTTTAGAAGAGTGGCAGAAGTGATTGGAGCAGAAGGAGTTCACACACAGTACTAGAATTATAGAGATTACATTAGTAAAACTCAAAGTCAAAAAAGTGTCCCAATGAGTCATCAAATTAAAATACTCATATCTTCACATAATGTCATTAGTTTCCCACGGTATAGGGAACCGAAATAAAGCTGGGATGCAGACCTTTCCGACATCTCCCTAAAGCTTAGTCATATTCCCACGTCTTGACACATGATATAGCAATTACATGAAAAGCTACAAACATTGGGACACTTTTTTGAGCCACTGTATGTTCGATATGTGTTCATTCTACCTTCACACTTCATCTGTTCTGATGCTTGAAGGGGCTCTACATTGATAAAATAATACTAGTTACATCCTGTATCTAGTTTTACCTCAAAAAATTTGACTTGTGACACGACACAAACGAGCAAATCGTATAGTAAGATACCATCATACTTAAGCCCCTCCCTGCAGTATGGGCAATGTGTGCGCACGACGTCATGGATGCTCTCGAGTAGCTCCTTCCCATCTATAATACATTGTGCGCACTCGTCAAGGAATGTGGTGGTGGCATGTTCCCCCTCTATGCGAGCACGCCCAAGTTCATCGTCGAACGCCTCATTCCACGCACTCTCTGATTCCCACTCTTTCCGCCATTGTCTGACAGCGTTCTCTATTGTTTGCAGTGTGGGAACGTCACAAGAACAAGGAAGGTCGTTGTCCATGGTGAGCACAGAGTCATCGCCCTCGTAAGAGAAATCGTCGAATGAGGTTTCAGCGTCATAAGAGAAATCGTTGAGTGGGGGAGAAGCGATGGCAGGGACGGGTTGTTGTTCACCCTCATAAGAGAAATTATTGAGTGGGGGGGAAGCGATGGCAGCGGCAGGGTTGTTGTTCAGCATCGTAAGGGAAATCGTTGAGTGGGGGGGAAGTGATGGCAGCGGCGGATTGTTGTTCAGCGTCGTAAGGGAAATCATAAGACTGATCATCTTCACAATCTGACCGGGAATCATGTGAAATGCTATCGCAATCGAGTGGGGGGGATCCAGTGCCAGGAATGCGCAGATTTGGCTCTGCGGGAGGTTGCATTTGCAATTTTTTTGCCCTGTTACGAGCCACTCGAAGACGTGCCTTCGCATTTTGGCTGTCTTGAATTCTGCAAGGTAAGGTGAGCAACATTCTCTGTGGCTAAAACTGGCTTACCCTGGTTTGGCGAGCCAATGCTCTGTAGCTAAGCGTTGCCTCAAAGCAGGACTGCAGGACTTGTCCCGACGACCCTTTGAATTCCAATGTCAGATAAATCACAGGTGCAAGCGTTTGAGCTTACCATGTTGCAAAATTGAAAGAGAAAGAGACGGTCTCTGGCCATGGTGAGATACTGATGAGCGATAATATATGTCTTGACGACATGATTGATCTGCGAAAAAAATTGAAGGTGAGATGGTCAGTTGTCTTGTGACAATCAAAAATATATATGTTTTGACAGGATCTGTCATTCGAAGGTATGAGTAAGACAGCGGCTGTTTTGCACCTCGACTCAACTACTATATTTAGACATGTTGTAGGTCCCAGGTTGTCCAAGATTTGTGCTCTTGACTGGTGTCTGTTTGTCGACCCGTATACTACGACTTGCTGGTGTGGGGCTCCAAGTCCGACAAACCAGACCAACAATAACCTCGCCATGCTATGGCGTCTCTTTGAATTCCCTAGGCTCAACTCAAAGACGCTATGGTGTCTGTTTGACGCCCCATATATTAGTACGACCCGCTGGTGTGGGGCTCCGAGTCCGACAAACCAGAGCAACAATAACCTCAACAAATCTACAGCAATTTTTTCGGATCAGCTCGGAATATACCTCGACGAATATATCACCTCTGCAAGGCAAGTGACTATGTCATTGTGAGCGGATTGCTGATGTGGGGCTCAGTGCTGACAAGCTTTGAATTCCTAGTTGTGTCTGTAGTTGGCATTGCGACTCGAAGAATAGCAGACAGGGACCTGAGGCGTGCAACAAATGTATGTCTTGTCAATTTCATGTTCTGCACTGCCTCATGTACCTGATGTGTCGCGGCTTGTTTATTTGCATCATCACGTAAAATATTGTAGGCACATCTACATCTCAACACTGCACGTCTGCACCCCAACACTTCCTCACCACTGCACCTATGATGGACCAAATTTTTTCAGTGGAAAACTTTGATTCCAATGGTGATTTTACTGCTCCCTCGTTCAATGAGATTAACTGGGAGGACCCAGCACTCTACACTATGCCGCTTACAAGCGAGGAACTAGCTACACTTACCAAGGACACGCCCACCAACTTGCCACTCCTTCCAGGGTTCATCGCCCATTCCTCACTCCCTGACCCTCCCACTCGCACACCATCACCCCACCCGTCTGAAGCCTTGACCCCTAATCAAAGTGCCAACTGTGCAGGGCCACTGCGTGAGGGGAATTCATCCACCTGGGCAGCGCACAATCCCACGCGACCTGTTATTCGACCTCGGACGCCACCACCTCGGCTGACAGATGCACAAAAGCATCCCGGAAGATCAAGAGGGACCAGAAGAGGGAGGCGACAAAAAGCTTACATGATGGTATCTCTGAGTACCTCGACGAGCAGAGGGTGAAAATAGAGGTGCTCGCCCGAACTCACAATGTCACCCCAAAGCACATCAATGACATCATCAGCGTCCACACGAATTACCACAACTCCCACAAGCCCCGGTTGATCAACGCGCTTATTCATGCGAAGGCAAAGGAACTAAATGCCAGTAAGTCTTTTGATGTTCTCAATACGATATCACTGCTTACCTTATGACAATCAGATAAACCTGCAGGGTCCCGTTACACGCTGGCTGAGCTCCGTGAAATGGTCACAAATGACCCTCAAATGAACAAATTGACAGAAGAAGAAAAGGCCTCTTACATAGAGGCCCTCAATGAGCATCGCGACAAGAAGGCACTTGGTGTTCGTGCGAATAATTCCGCAGCTGTGCGAGATGTGGTAGCCACAACAGAAAGACTCGTGAAAGAGGTACATTTTTTTGAATATTTACGTCTACAACCAACTAAAATAAACTTATACTAGCTGGATGACCTACGTGTTCGGACTGGCATCTATGCGACATTATTTGTCGTTCGTGGTCACATCAACGACATGATCCAAAGCACCATGCATGGCACCGACAATACGGAAGACCTTTGGGAGGACGTTTACGAGCATCCGATGGCAGATTTTCTGCGTCAATATGAACAATGGGCATGCACACAGGATCAGAGTAAGTCCTATACGTTATATATACTTGCCTGGCCATCATTGAATGTCATGCAGATCTCAACGAGCGTGAGTCTTTGGAGGCAATGCGAAAGCAAGTGCGTAAAATGATCTTCCGTGGGTTATGTGAGTGATTGTGTTGTTTTGCATGTGCTGGCCCCATCTGACACTGTTTTCAGTTGCAGTGACTGGTAAAAAGGATATTGCTATGAACTACCATAACTACGAAACCGCAATCGTCGAGACTTATGGAGTGCGCCTTGTAGGATGGCCCCACGGGGTCAACTTCATTAGTCCTTCGAACATTGGAACAGTTGGCGACATTCGGAAGCTTCGAGATGCACTCAAGAGTCGTATCTGCTACTGGACAGTTCTCTCACCAGCAGAACTTAAATCCCACGCAGCTGAACTCAACACGCGCCGTTTAGCTGGCGAAATTGTTCGCAAGCCACGCAAGAAGCGTTCGGACTCTGGAGTGCCTCGAAAGCGCAAGGCACTGGCTACCGCAGGACAGGCTGGCCAGGAAAATCAGAGGGTGTCGAAGAAGGCGAAAAGAACCGCTCCACAGCTTCGCCAAGCCCCCAAGAGCTCTGAAGTTGTTGAGTCATCTGATGGACTTGAAGATGAGTAATAGTACTGTTCCAATGCTGTAGTCTAGTTTATGGACATAAATGTATTCCCTACGTACTAAAATCATCACTGGTGCATGTGTCGTCGAAATGCGGTGTCGATCCCATTACTTGAACGTGAGACATGCGAGCTCGACGTTTCATATATTATTAGCCGACGCTGGGAACACGTCACGTCATTTGCCGATATGCCGGCGGCAGCACCCAGTCATATAGTCCTGTTGGTATGTAAAGTCCCTCTTTATCCAGGAGATATTGAAGGAGGCGGTGATCCGCTGAATTTGCCTGACCTTAAAGGTGCGAGACCCATCTACTATCACCTATAATAAGAGCATTTACGTGGGAATCACAGGTGAGCTCCACAACTAAACAAAAGCGGTGAATGAACAAAAAATGGATTCTGGCCTATCGATATGATGTTAGCTGTAAGCGAGTTAAGCGAGTTTTCAAGTGTACTACGGAAAAGTTTGTTCCACCAATCGCATTGCTCCATCACCAGCGCCGTAAGCTCACCGTAAGCATCAAACTTCTTTTTGACAAGCGAAATTTCAAGGTCTTTTGCTGATGTACTCCACACTCACTTGCGCAGAAACTTCAAAGACACTAAGCGGTCGCCTAAAATCAAATGCCTTTTAGAGATGGGCTGGCCTGACTGGCTGACGAAAAGTGCTTCTCTGTTTCATACACAGTTATTGACCCTGGATCTGACAGCCTGTAGACCTGAACCCACCACCCATGTGAAGTTATGGCATTTCGTTTGTATAACCAGCTATTTGCAGCAACAATTGCACTGCAAGCACTCGACGCGAAACGACGAGGCGCTACTAAGTACTGACCACGTGGCCCATATGACCAACAGAAAGCAGAACAATTCTTCGACCACCTTCACATCTCTTCAGCGACGATTTTCAAGACTTGGTTCCGGTAAGTAAATGTTAGCCTCTCGCTGCCTCATCACTCAATCCTGATTCCCTTCCATCCAGAATGGACCGTGAATTGTTTTGGCACACAACCTAATCGCCGATGATCCGATTTTTGTCGTGGTCAGTGGACGTCCGCAACGCCCTATTTTCTGGGATGTTGTGGTGATCGCGTGCACTTTCTTGCTGGTCCATGTTGGCATCATTTGCCCACTCAATAACGTGCCCTATTTATTTGTTGGTTGTCATCTTGTGCACGAAATAAAATGGCCAAATAAAATCGTTATAGAGTAGGGCTAAAAGCTTTCGTGCCCAACGTACCAAAGGAACAACCGTGCAATGCCAATACAACATGATCCTGCCGATGTCGGTGCAGATGCTCGATTTTCGGATACGAGCGTGCCACGTAGAGGCCTGTATGACTATATCATAGCTGGAGGTACGTTTCGCTACCCTTTAATCACAACACCAAAGTCAATGTGATGAGGTTTTCAGGAGGAACCGCAGGATGCGTCCTTGCAAGTAGGCTAACCGAGGACCCTACAATATCTGTATTACTTCTTGAGCGTGGCAGCGTTCACAACACGTTCACCATGCGGTGTCCTCTTTTGTCTTCATCATATGCCCAGGGGAAACATCCCTCTGTGCGATGGAATAGCACACCTTTAACCGCTGCTAATGGTCGTGTCCTTGAAATTCTCACTGGCACTGTATTAGGTGGAGCATCAAGGTTTAATTCGATGCTTTACACTAGAGGTAGTCCTGCGCAGTATGACGAATGGAGGCGGCAGGGACGCGTTGGTTGGAGCTATGCCGACCTCGAACCATACTTTATCAAGTCCGAGAATGCGGTCAGCACTTCAGGGTATTATCATGGCACCGAAGGTGAATTCGGTCAGATCATGAGGAACTTGCACTCACTCTGACATGTAGGACCATGGAGCAATCGACATTTCGACAAGTTCCTTTTCAGTTCGTTCTCTCAGTAATTCCCTCGTTCATTTCTCATAATCAGAGCCTAATGTTGCTACCAGTGCTGTGAAAGCTGCCAAGGACCTCGGTATATCGTACACTGATGATGTCAACGCCCCAGAAGGACCTTGCGTGTCCTGCGCAAAAATTCCCGTCACATTGGCTTCAGATGGGAAGCGTCTGTCTACCTTCGATGCTTTTCTTCCTCCCTTGATCACCACGCAGAGGCGAAGGGTCGCGATTTGCACCGACACGCTTGTCACAAAGATCGATTTCGATGTTGGCGGCGTGCAACCGGTTGCATCGGGAGTGTTCTTCAAACCATACGAGTCCACTCCAAAACAGCGACCGTTCTACGCGAGGGATCAAAGTCATCAAGGATTTGCCAGGCGTTGGCCGCAATTTGGTGTGTACAGAAGTTCTGTCAATTGCTCTGTTCACTAACATGCACCATAGCAAGATCATGTTGGCACCACGATCACGTACAGGGTCTCTGACACATTACACGCGCTTGAGAGCAGTTTAACGCGAGCATTGACTGAATTTTTGAATTACCTGATACGCGGTCGGGGACTATTCACGAATCCATCCGTGCAGGTGTCGATATTTGCCAAATCGGATAATTTGGGAGATGATGCAGAGCCTGGCGTCGAGGAAACCAATCGTGAAACATTTCCCGATATTGAAATCATGCCCATTCCCCATGAATGCACCTATGTCACATCCCAGAAGTCTCAGGGCTTCTTCTCTTTCATTTGCGTTCCTCTGCAACCCAAATCATCGGGCACGGTGGAGCTTTTCTCTCATGACCCCTATGCAAACCCAAAAGTAGACCTCGGGTTCTTCACGCGCGAGGGAGATATCGAGGTTGTCAGGAAGCTGTGCGCCTTGCAATGGCATTAGGAGAAAGGATGCGTACGAACGGGTATCAGATGGAGAACCATCTGATTCCTGCCGGCGACAGTGACGAGCAATTGGACGCCTTCATCGGACAGAACGTCCGCACAACATACCACTATGCATCCAGTTGTCGCATGGCTCAGGAACATGACACGGTCCCAGGTGTTGTTGACGATGAGCTCCGCGTGCATGGGGTTTCTCGCCTGAGGATCGCAGATGCAAGCATTTTCCCAGATATAGTTGCGACTCATCTCCAGGCTCCGGTTGTGATGGTAGCTGAAAAATGTGCCGACATGCTGAAGAAAACATGGAGCGCAACGAATTGATGGCGTACCTTGTGTAAACGTTAATGATGTGCCAGTTATTTACAGTGCTGTGTAGTGTATGAACATTACACGCTATGTAGTATATGAATGTACATACATCATTAGCAAGTTAGGGTTCAACGTTCAACGTTCAACGTTGAACTAGGGGGTTAACGTTATGATGGTTGGATCCATTCGACTATGATATACATAAAATACTAGAGATGATAAGGACACTTTGCGATGTTGATGCGATATAATAATTGTATGTAAGTAAAGACTCTTGCTGGTCGTCGTGTCGGGTACGTCATGTGTGTTGTATTTCTCTAGCGTCAATTCTTATCTAGGCTCGCCATCGGGTCAGTCTTAGTTTATTTTCAGCTACCTATTTCGGTTCTCCCTCGATCGCAGCTTCCTAGCATTCACCACCGAGTTCTGTATCTTTTCTATACGACCTTTCAAAATTTTCATGTGTTCTCTGATGGAAGGCTCAACTGCCGTCAGGCTCAGCGCCAGCTGTTATGTTGAATTAGTGGTTATGGGAACCACAGGTGCAGGGTTCTCTGATGGGCTCCCAGGTTCCTGCTTCTGAACCCCTTGTCGCATAGGAATATTCATTCTTGGCTCACGCGTTCCACGAGTCAACGACTTTTTTTCGGAGGTGCAAGCCATGATCGGCTCAGGGAGAGCCAGGAACAAAGTTAAACCAATGAAGGTGATCTAGGGTGAAATAATACTATTGTGAATGACCGTGACTGACATAGACTGTTGGGTGTTTGTTCGACTAGCCGTTACAGTCGGACCCCTAACGTTTGAGAATCACAACTCACCTTCTCTTACTCAAGATTGGATTCTCTTCCTCGGGCCTCCAGGTCTGATTACGTCTTGATATCCCTCGATCTGTCTCTTTGAGTTTACACTAGGTCTCAGATGTCATCACTTCTACGTCAACCCGATATCTGTTGTTTCTGCAATGATTGGGGGATAGGGAACAAAACCCTCGTGATGGGCACGAGATATTAGCGAAAGTATCAAGATATCAAAATATAGTAGCCAATGCTTCACCATCATCTTGACTCGAATCCAACGAACCAAACAGCTTTCCTCCCGGACCATTTTTACCAAAGGTGAAGCCGACCCAGACACCTCGGGCTTCTGGCTCTTCCTTTTCCTTTACCTTCTCTACGTTTCGCTGCTTGTCTTTCACTTCGGCGTACTTCGCCATGTCTTCCGCAGAAGTGAAATCATCATAGTACCCAGTGTCAATCTCTGAGTCAAGAGCAGGCACAAACGGTGCGCGTGTTGAACGGAGGTCTTCCCACTGCATCCCGTCAAAGAAAGGGTGGCTTGTGACCTGTGTAAGAGTAGAGTATCGAACGCTCGAGTGCGAGATGAGTCTGAACAGGAAACAAGAGGCATTCAGCGTCGTCAGACAACACACGGTAGCAACCCATGTACCTGGTCACGGCATCCCATGCAATATCCGTCAAGTTGAAGATTAAGTCTTCAGGCTTATCGTACTCTGGCCTTCTCAGTACCTTCGTCCAATTCTTCAGGTTTGTCCAGGTCTCCTCTGGCGTACCGCCACTGAAGGGCGGAAAACCAGCGAGAAATTCGAAGAATATGCAACCTAGCGACCAATAGTCGACTGAATAAGTGTATGGCTTGCCTCTGAGGACCTCCGGCGCCATGTAGTCGGGTGAGCCAACTATGGAGTCTGCATACCGTGGGTCTTCAGCGCGGATGGATTTGTACATGGAGCGGCGTTCTAGGGTAGAGCGGTAGACGACTTGGACGTCTTTCGCTTTATCGAGCTGAGAAATATTAGGGCGCACAGGATGAAGTCAGGGTCGCAGACGGACCTTCAACTTCATCGATTCAATGCGCTTGGGATTGAGGGCACCTGTGGCAAGGCCGAAGTCAGTCAGCTTGACGTGTCCGGTGCCGTCCACAAGGAAATTCTGGAGGCATTGTCAGTACTACAGAGCTTGCGCATGCGAGACAGTTTCACCTCCGGCTTCAAGTCACGATGAATGTAACCAAGCTTGTGAAGCTCGTTGACAGCGACGAACATTTCTGAAATATAAAACCTTGCATGCTCTTCCTTGAGAACGCCAGAATTGTTGAGAAGAGTACGAAAATCGCCTCCGGGAACATACTCCATTGCTAAATATACGTGTTGTGCGTCCTGGAATGCATAAAGAAGTCTGACGAGCCAAGTTGTTTTGGTTGCGGTAAGGATATCGCGCTCCACTAAGACGTGCCGCACCTTGAAATGCATCAGTCTTCACGCAGATCTGTGAGTGGGATAACAAACCTCATCCATCTTGAACAATATACGTTTCTTCATCTTCTTGAGAGCGCATATCTCTCCTGTGTCCTGTTTCCGTGCCAAGAACACCTCACCGTAACCACCCTGCCCGACTTGTGCGATGATATGAAATTGGTCAACCCTCAGCTTTGCTCTGCGTTTTCTCAGAATTACTCTCTCTCGCCCACAATACGACTTGAACTCCTTTGCGTACTCGGCGGCTGTTAGCTGCCTTTTGGTAGTATCTGCGTCAAAGCGTGCCCTCCTTTCTTTCCTGGATGCGATATATCCAAGGTTCATAAAGTAATAGTCGAGAAAAACTGGTAGGAGCATAGATGATGAGATTGGGGAAGGTCTCAAAATGAGATGCTCACATAGTTGGGCCACGGTGGCCTTGCGCTTGACCTCGGCGCTCTGGAGCAATTCCCTCTCCCAGAGCTGAAATCCACCTGCTTTCACGGTTGTCGCATTTCGTGCAGTGTCCATTGAGATGTCATCAGACCACGCGCCGCCATTAGGCTTTGCGGTACTCATGTGGATGTCCCGAAGTCCCAATGTGATTCCCTTTGCCGTGTCCATATGTATATCTCGATATTGGGGTGAATCTGATCTAGATGGAAGGGGAGCCATAGAACATATCTCAGTTGATACCCTGAATGTTCCTGGTCTATTGATCTTTGTATGATGAAGATGAGTCTCAAGTACTGTGGTTTGATTCTTATGGATAAGTGATACAGTCACATGACGGACGCGTTCTGCAAAGGAGTCCGAAACTTTGCTGATAATATTGCCGATTGACCATGCCTCAAGTTCGTCCTACCCATATTGATCTTGCCTCAATTCTCGCAGAGCCTAACCCTTCTGTCGACCTGCGCTTGCACGCATATGAAGCTTCCACATCTAATTTTCTCAGAGCGGTCACCAACTATGCAAATCGCGCAGTAGCAGAGATCACCAAACATAGGAATGCTCAGGAGGCAGACAAGAAACGTTTGGTTGAGAAGACTGTTGCAGTAAAGGCTGAAACTAATCAGTGTAAGGTGAAGGAGATTGAGCTGCTGGCTGGTACGTGGTCATGCTTGTTGTGGTGTAATTGTGCAGCAGTGACGTCTCTCAGTAATGGAAAGGGAAAAGGAGGAGGTCCGAGAAGCTGAGACGTCAATTACCGCTCTGAAACGCCAGCTCGCATCGATCCGTGAAACCTGCCAGTCCGTTGATGCAGAGATAGAGCAGTATCGTGCCCTAACTGCCAATTTGAAGAGAGGTAGGTACCGTCGTTGTAATTTCCTTGCTTACGCTGCTCAGGCTACTCTCTGCAGAAAAAGATCGAGAGCGGCAGACATTGGAGATGCATGCAGCACAAACAGGACCTGAATTAAATGCCTGCGAAACCCGTCTACGTTGTCATATCGAGGGAATAGAGAAGGACCGGCTCCTCATCCGATTTACGCACATTGACAAGCTTGACATTGACCGTGAATTCAGCTTCGTGCTCGACGTTGCATCCAGCTCAAATCAAGGTATGCAAGTCAATGCAATGTGTCTCAAAGGTGGTGCTTACATCCGCCAACCAGTGATAACGACCACACCCCCACTGCCAAATCTCCCCATCCTACTTAATGAACTAAACGAAACAAGAGATATATTCCATTTTATCAGGTCAATGCGCTCGGCGTTTGCCCAATTAGTAGAGAAACATTAGGAGATTGTCAATTCTTGTATCGCCTATGAATCAATACAACACATGCCACAACTTTTGCGATAATTCCAAGAAAGTTATAAACTTATATGTACATACTACCCTGTCTTCCATGTTACTCATCGTCTCCTTCCCCCCAACCCGTCCGGTCTCTATGACCCCCAGAACCTCCCAGCTTTCCCTTGGTCCGGCTCTTGCGGCCACCCAGCTCCTTGTACATTTCTCTCATCTCCAACTTACCTGGCCGGCTTTGCATAAGTTCCTCTTGTCGCCATTGCTCTTCTTTAAGTTCTTTTGGCGTTTGATGGCCTGACTGTGACGGTGAAGTGCGACCTGAACCTCTCGAAGGCAACGGCGATGATGGAGGCGAGCGATTCGACACAGATTTAATGTAGGTCATCCGCTGAGAACAAGTCATCAAATCATACAGCCAGACACAGGAAGATAAAGTACTCACCCAATTCTGTTTCGATTCCCTTCTAGTCCACTTCCCGGGAGGAAGAGTTTCGTCATGGAAGTTTTCCTTCCTATAATGCTGAAACCAAACTTGTAACACAACGTAGACCATTAGCATACAGCACACTAATATATATGTATAAGACTTGCTGTAGTTCAGTGTCTGACTCTTATTCCACTTTCTCGATACCCTAGCGCAGGTCGCGAGCTCAGATATCCCAAGCCACCGGAAAATGTTTTGCGATACTTGAGTTGGAAATGCCTTTAGGGGGTCATTCGAGAGGCCCTTCAATGGCAGTGCACTCGCAGAGCGAGTGAAACCTCTTCGTGTGGGTGATACAGGGCGCGATGAGGGGCGTGAAGGTCCTCTCGACCTCGCTGGCGTCCCTGGTAATGAGAACTTGAAAATATGTTGAGTAATTGATATTAGAGTAGACGGTATGGGGGCATACCACGCCGACAAGCTCATCGTCTGAGTCATTCTCAGCCTGGGATTGCCTGGAAGATGGATAGAGTCCATTCAATTCATGGGTCTGTGATTGCGATTTGAGCACGCCTTGTAGCAGACTCATTATGCAGCAGTTGTGTAGGTGGTTTGGAATCTAGATGAGAGATAAAGCTTATGAAAACCAAAGGCTGACAAAGATGGGATATATATGATGTCATCCAACCACAGTCCACAACTGATAACAATGAGATATTGAAAAACTCTAATTGTTCGAACTGACCATCTAAAAAATGGGACCGAGTATCATAAATTATGATCAAGGCTAGTGCCACGTTTATAGTACTTTCAAACCGACTTGAATAACTGCCACACGCCCTTTGCATATCCCACAACCTCGTCCGCACCGAGCTTGCTTTCTCCAAATATCCGATCCACAAAAGTGATCGGAACCTCGCCAACAGTGTATCCCAGGGCCCGTGCCCTTACCATCATCTCCATCTGGAACACGTACCCCCTGGACTGTGTCAGTGTGATGATATGCCGAAGAACGGGTAACCGGTACAGTCTACACCAGCATTAAGTTTCAGTCCGCTTTCCCGAACTGATAGTCTACGTACCTGAAACTGCCCGTTAGGTCGCTCACGCCGGGGTTCAGCACAGTAGCAGCCAGGAAATTTGCTCCTCGTGAGACTAATTTGCGCTTCAGATCCCAGCCGTGCACGCCACCAGGTTGAGTTTCAGAGAGGTATGGAGTGGATGTCGAGCGATATCGCGTTCCTGTCACAATGTCGAGGTTGTGTGCTTGTTGCAATCTACACGTTGTTAACAGGGAAAAGTTAGGAAAAGACGACACACCTGATAAATTGCGGAATGAACTTGGGCTGACGGGATGGATGCACATTAGAACTTGTGTGTCAACGGATGGTGAAGCACGTACGTGATGCGAAAAGTCGGCATCCATTATTATCACAAAGTCACCAGTGCAGAAGTCGAGTCCATGGATATATGCAGTCCTACGCACAATTTGGCGACGCATTCGTTTTCCATATTTACTCCTAGTACTTACCCGAGTCCAAGTTTTCCTGCCCGTGGTTTGAGAAGCTTGACCGACAATCAGTCGGACCTCAACGCGTGATCCATCTGCACTCACTATTCTGTCCTCGCCATAAGCCCTTGCCAACTCAATGGCAACTTCTTGTGTCCCATCCGGACTCGCATCATCTACGATGATGATCTCCCATGCAAGCTGACTGGTGTACTCAGTCTGGCTTTCGGCATGTTAAGCAGACAGAACGCACTGTTCCACAAAAACCTTCGCTAGCAACCAGATAATAATTGGGAGGTTCTTGCGCTCATTGTAGGTAGGTAGAATAACAGAATACTTGTGAGTGTTTGGCGTGTTGTATTGGCCTTGCATGTTCAGCGACACTGGGCTGGCGAAAGGGTTCATTAACTTTATAGTCTTGCGACTGGATGGTAGTTAGCGTGCGAGTTTACAGGCGTCGGCTCTTTCATATTACTTTATGACCTCCTTTGAATCCTCATTGCTTTCGTCATCGATGTCGCCCTCAAGCACTGACCAAAACACGTCTCCGTCTATCACAGCGCTCAAGTCTCTACTCACTACAACCCTTCGCATCACGACGACCGATAATCGAGTGTTCATTGGCACGTTTATGGGCACTGACCAACTTTTGAATATCATCCTCGTCAACACTGAGGAGTACATTCTGGGAAACGAGACTAGTCGCTTTGTCGGCCAAGTCATGCTCCCCTGGCGCCTTGTCCTTCATGTCGAAGCATTCAACCAACAGAGTACTCCAAATGGCAAAGCAAAGGATGACAAGAGCTTGTACATCTAAATCGCAGTCCGAAGATACATCAAATGATTTGTCCAAAATGGTACATCCATTGTCCTGTCCACCTCTGCTATATTCATGGTTATATGTGACAGAAATTCATGATCTCTCGAGGAGCCCTTTTATCCGCCGTCTGTTGTGAGGATTCAGCCGAATACGGGCCTTTTGCAGGCATCGCTGATGATGCGCAGGGCTGCCGTTCCACGGTGCAGGATTCTTCATCATTGGCCAGCGCGCTAGCCTTTGTATTTGTCCTTGTAGATCCACGCCATCCCTACGTCGCTGGCACCTTGTGCGACCTACAGACACACCTTAACATATAATTTGCAAGAATCACGCTGGTTATACTCACAGCAGCGCGATACCACTTAGCGGCTTTTTTCTTATCCTTTTTGCACCCTTTGCCATTGGCTAGGCAAAAAGCGAGATCTTCTTGTGCATCCCCGTCGCCGAGGTTGGCAGCAACTCGATAGTAACTCTGGAGATTAGTGAGCACAAGGCTAGAGACAATCAGTGACGACGTACGACTGCCATCTTGTAGTCCTTAGCTACGCCCCAGCCATGAAAGAAGCATTGCCCAACCTCATAAATCGCTAGCACAAGCTCCGACTGAGGAAAATTCATTAGCGTTTCCATATACAACCCCGCAGATCGAACTGACTCTAACAGCCTTCACGTCCATGCCTTCTCTCGCCTTGCCCAGATCATCCACAGCGCTTTCCGCGGCCTTTGTGAGCCACTTGAAACCACTTTTCTCGTTCTTCTCGCATCCCCACCCATGCCTCAGCGTCAATCCCCACAAGAGCATCCCTGTCCCACAGCCACCTTGTTCTTTTGCACTTTTCTCGAAGTAAAATGCGCTATCTTGTAGTTTGTTGGCCTCGTGGTATTGTATTCCTAGCTGGAGATATTCTTGTGGAGTTGAAGGCTCGGTAGAAGGTGAACGGTTGCCCGGCGAGGAAGATGATTGGGTAGGAAAATTTGAATTGCCAGTTGGGGATGGAGAGCCATCACTCAAACGGTAAAATGAATATGAGGTGGAGTATAAGCTTTCTGGTGAGCTTGGACGTACAGACGGGGGGTGAGAGGGGTGGTGTACATGAGAGGAGGATGAGAGGGTCGGGGAAGAAACAGCATAGTTTGGTTGAAGATAGGACCCTGGCGAGCATGCATCAGATTGCGGCGTAGGCGACAAAAATTGGTTTTCAGGAAAGCTTACGCCCGTCTGGGGCGTAATTGGAACAAACGAAAGGGGGGTATGAGCGGTCAATGGAGAACGGGTTCTTCGTGAATTTCGTTCAAGAACCTGGCGTTTCTGTTCTTCAGAAGAGATTATTGGTGGTCTTCCTGGCCTGGAAAAGTTTATGCGGGGAGTAGGGTCAACTATGGGTGACTTTCCGCCAAGTTTTGGCTCATTAGTGGCGACCTGCTTGTCGACATCCTGGGGCTTGGAAACCACGACGGTTGGAACGGGAGTGCTTGAGTTTGACAGATGCATGTCATGAATCGAGGATTGTATGTTCAACACATCTGTGGAACCACTGGTAGGTTCTAGGGTGGTATGCCAAGCACGGTGGCTGTCTGTAGAAGCGCCGGGGGTGTGACTTTGCCGCAGTGAATACATGCTATTCTCTTCGTAATATGATTCAAGCTCGTCATAATATCCATTTGGTTCGTCCGTCAACGACAGAAACGACTTTCTGTTAAGATAGTCAGCATTGCTAGCTGTCGAATTACGGAATTGCGAGTGCAACAGAGGAGATTCGGGCACTCTCGGACTAGTTCCATAGTATGGCCTCGGCGGAGAAATTGCATGCAAATCTTGGACTTGTGACGACGCCGGAAAACGAGTTGACCGAGAGGAAGATGGCACTGGCAAAGAGGGATTAATGGCAGTAGCCTGCTTCCGAGCCTCACGTTCTTTCCGTTGGACAACCTGTCGTTTAGACGAAGTTCGCCGAACCAAGGTGTCTAGTGGTGATGAATGGACCAGGCGCACCTGGTTCTCATGTGATACCGCCATGATACTTGCAGCTGGTCAGCCTTGGCAAGGCAGGTCAGGATCTTAGGTTACTAGGGAGAACATGATAGCTCCATTGTCCATTAGTGTGTCCGACTTAGCGGACGTGTCGCAGATCACCACGCCGTGCCTTTCAATGAATATAGAACAGTTTTGTTCTTGTCCTCATCTCACTTATTGTTATGGTACGTAGGCTTGTCAGTACATGTTGTATTATACGACGATGGAAAACAATGATTTTGTTCTCGGCAAATGTACACAATTATAACGATATATTTATGTAACTCTAAATGCGACATTAAACTACTGCGGAGGGATCAATCCATACTTATCCCAACCTCAGCGCTCAGCTGCAACAGCCGGAATGACATCATGTCAGGCACAGCTGATGCAGATGCGGCTGCTTCCCTTGATCGCGAGGACACAAAATTTTAGCCATTTCAGTTGGTCATTTGCATGATCATCAAAGCCCCTTCAGAAAATAAAACATGGCAAAGTGAACCAAACCAATATTATGTAAACTAAACTTAGCTCTCTAAACCGACAGACCTGGTAATGTCTTGTTGTCAAGTTCAGTACGTCATATAAAATCGTAGCGGCGGCGAGCACCAGTCCCCGACTCCGATACTCCGATAATACCTTGATCATTTTTTGTACTCTCACAATTTCCATGCGAATTCTCATGGGCTCGTCTAAGTCCTCCCATTCATGGATATAACAGTCAGTCAGGCCTAAGCTAACATCACAATGTACGAGTCCCACCACAGGGCACCGGAGGTAAAAAAGACGATAGGCAATATTGGGTCGAGAGTACGGAGTCTCTGAGTCTCAAGGCTGAAGGCGGTGAAAATAAATGAACAAAGACAGTGAATCGTAGTGTCTCAGTTATGTACGTAATCAATTCCCACGACACGTCCATTGACAGAAAAATGAGCATGTTTGCGTCTGACAAAACCCTTCTCCCACTTCGTGGGAGTCGGGGACAGAGGTCTGTGTAACCTAAAATCAGACAATCACAGTCATCCAGTCTCACATTCCCATCTCCATGTTTGGTTTGTCAGAAGCAGAAGTTTCTGAATCATGCATGGTGGACCTCAGAGCTCAAGCGCTCAAGGCCTCACCTGTGTCGTAGACCACAATGGTATGGGCTTTGCACATCCCGAGTTCATTCCTGACCTTGGCAGTGGGTTTGAACTTTCTATCGTACAGACTGATTGCTTTGAGGACAAGCATCGTCGGTTCATGTGTAGTCACTCACAAGTGCAATCTCTGTGTTACAGTGGCTCAAAAAAGTGTCCCAATGTTTGTAGCTTTTCATGTAATTGCTATATCATGTGTCAAGACGTGGGAATATGACTAAGCTATAGGGAGATGTCGGAAAGGTCTGCATCTCAGCTTTATTTCGGTTCCCTATACCGTGGGAAACTAATGACATTATGTGAAGATATGAGTATTTTAATTTGATGACTCATTGGGACACTTTTTTGACTTTGAGTTTTACTAATGTAATCTCTATAATTCTAGTACTGTGTGTGACCTCCTTCTGCTCCAATCACTTCTGCCACTCTTCTAAACATATTCTCTATCAATTTTGGGTATTTCTCTTTGGTGATTCCATCATACTCTGCTGTAACACTGTCTCATAGTTGGAATAGCCCCTACAGTGAATCTTGATATGCTACAAGTAATTTCTTGAGTGATTCTCAGGGGTATTCAATATGGTTGATGTCTTGGGTCTATGTTGAACATGATAGAATAGTAATATTATGGTCTTTAAGTTATTTGGTAGCCAATCTAGAAGGTTGCTCTATAAGACTTAAGATCTCTTAATCACTATATTCTAATTGGAAAGACTGCTGATGCTAATAAAGTGATTAAATTGATTATTTCCATCATTCCTATGACTATCTCTACTCAAATAGTCAGACAGACTCTCAAGACAGCCCATCTTAAAGCTATAATCAAGAAAAACAGATTTCTCTGTCTCCAACCTATAAATAAAAGACAAGATGCTACTTTCAAGTACAAATATTGGACTGCTAATAGCTGAAAGAGGTTTATCTAGTTAGATAAGGTTAAAATCAATAGGATGAAATCATATGGCAAGGAATTTATATTAAAATAGATAGGACAATCATTAAGATAAAGAAAAATTAAATAAACACCTTAAGTTTCAAGACAAAACTTGATGGTATAGGACTATATGAGATAAAATGGAGTGGGAATCTTCTATGAAGCAAAGGGGAGGATGAATACAGAGTAGTAAATACTCATTTGACAGGAGTGTCTGCTAAGAAGCATGCAGAAGTTATGAGTTAATGAAGAAGATACTGTTTTGTGATAAGACAATGACCCTAAGTATACCTCTAAATAAGCCACCAATAGCTTGCAAACCATGATATTACTATTCTATCATGTTCAACATAGACCCAAGACATCAACCATATTGAATACCCCTGAGAATCACTCAAGAAATTACTTGTAGCATATCAAGATTCACTGTAGGGGCTATTCCAACTATGAGACAGTGTTACAGCAGAGTATGATGGAATCACCAAAGAGAAATACCCAAAATTGATAGAGAATATGTTTAGAAGAGTGGCAGAAGTGATTGGAGCAGAAGGAGGTCACACACAGTACTAGAATTATAGAGATTACATTAGTAAAACTCAAAGTCAAAAAAGTGTCCCAATGAGTCATCAAATTAAAATACTCATATCTTCACATAATGTCATTAGTTTCCCACGGTATAGGGAACCGAAATAAAGCTGAGATGCAGACCTTTCCGACATCTCCCTATAGCTTAGTCATATTCCCACGTCTTGACACATGATATAGCAATTACATGAAAAGCTACAAACATTGGGACACTTTTTTGAGCCACTGTACATATAACCCAGATGTGTATCTGAACATCAGGAATCTGCGCTGTTGCTGGATGAGCGAATGATCCTGATTCTGAGCTTCAAAATAACTTTAAGTGAACTTCATGCATTATGTAATGTCAAGTTTTCCGAATATCACAAGGAAAATCGGAACGTGGAAAGTCAACATGCTCGCTGACATATGTCTCCTCTTTCAGTCCTGTTTGAGTATCCACATTATAATTAATCGTAGTGGTGGGCACCTGTCCCCGACTCTCCTTTTTTGACACCATATTGGAACTAGGAAATGTCGCTTAGTTAACGACACTAAGATCTAAAGTCGTGAACGACAAAGATAAAATTATGAACATAAGGGACTGTGCATCGAGCAACCAATAGATTGTCCGTCCGTCGGCATTCGCCGGTCGAGGAGTCTCCCCAAGCTCCAACTACTAGATGTACCTGAGTGTTCGTGCTCACCTAGTGTTCGTGCTTTTGCTCCAGCACATACAAATCATCACAAATCATTTTGGTATATAGAAATGGAATGATCCTGCATTGTCAATGAGTATTTCTATGTCTTTAATTTTTCGAATAAATGTGTTGTGCAAGTGTTATGATGCAATATACACCGTTTGGAGACAATTTGGCACACTGATCAGTGTCGGGAAGGCAAACTCACACCAATCTTAACCTTGGAAGTGCTTAGAACATTGATCCTGACAGATATCTAGCTAAAATGACAACTTCTGAGGTTGATTTGGCAGACTATTGATGTGCAAGCAGTGTTCTGCTGGTCAGTGAACCAAGTTCACGGTCATTGACCGGATTGCGTGGGAAAGCTGGCAAACTTTGTCGATGTTCATCTGAACACGACTTTCAGGAGTTTCCTGGTCCTACTGTAACGAACTATACTATATCTGGTCAATGCTAGAATATTTGATTATCCTCGTGCCGCTTCACATATCATTACTCACATAAACGCATGGTTTTCGTGTGTTCGGTTCAAGGGTATGTTTTGAGGCTTAGAACTCGAAGATGGACTCCCGACTTTTGACACACCATGAAGATCGGCAAGAGATCAAACCAAGGATGGTGGTGGGATCACTTCGTGGAGCACCCAGGTTATGCTGTCAAAGACCCAGCTTCAATGGTCAGTGGAAAGGCAAAGGTAGTGTGTGCAAGGCTCTATGAGCAACGTGTTGTGCATGAGCAGGCAATGGATGAGCAGCAGGTACACTTGGGCCAGCAAGATGCACCAAGGGACGAAGTGGCAATAGCAGGCACTCGTACGCAAGTTTGTTTTATAGCTTTCTGTTACTAACTTAATGTACTAGTTTGGGCTAGTGGCCTGAATGATCCCCAATGCACCTGGTTAATCAGTCGGCCGACAACACTATTATGTCACTTGTGTGATTGTGCATTGCACTCTGAGGATGTCCATTCGCAAGCACGGCTGGAATACAAAATGGCGCAATTGGCTCTCAACTGAGACACTCACCCTTCTGGCAGAACTCAAGATGTATGTTCACGAAGAGCATGTATGCAATGATGTGGTCAAGAAGTGGCTTCAACGCCGGTACTGTGACACCGAGGCCACTGACAAAGCAGAGCCTACTCAAGTAGTTCATACAGTTGGCAACAATCTATCAGGAGAAAGCAGTGAACGGGAGCCACACAGCCTCGCTTTTGAGAGGCGAGGGATAAGTGATGTTGCAGCAGACCTTATCCGAGCTGTTCAGGAGGAGGAGGAGATTTCCACCACAGAATCAATGCACTCAGTCCCCATTGGTGCTGCCAGTGCTGGTGGTTCATTCTCCCGCATTGCTATCAGTGACTTATTCGACTATTCTCGTGCGGAGGAATGGTTGGGATCTTTTTATAAAGTCACTATTTGAGGTTTGGATGCTGAGCTTGAGTTATATGAGCTTCTTGACTTAGATGCTGAGGGAATTGATGATCCAGACTTTCCTCAAGTTGATGATGTTCTTGACGAGTAGATAAATGAGCAGTGCTACCAGATGTTATAGTAGGAGTAGTTGAGTACTATCCATTCTGTGATTGTTGACACACCATGTACTGCAGCACTTTGAACCTGCTTCATCGTCCAATCAGATATGATTATCTAATATTCAAGCAGAACATCTGGCACTGCACGAGTTCAGTTCACTTGCATTCATGGGAAAGTTTGCGGCTGAACGTACGTTAACTTTGATAAACGTACACTGACCGGCAGAACACTGTGCAAGTGAAGGATATGTTATCTGGCGTGACAATCTACTACAAGACATTACATCATTTTGAAATCCCACCATGCTGCAAAAGTTGTATTCTATTTGAGTCTGAGGTACGAGGACAAAAATAGAATTAGGCCTATGTGGCGACACACTTCTTTTGTTTTCTCACCTTTCTTGCTTCTTACTAACTTGTTAGTATTCGCAATTCCTCTACTCCGAGACTGTGCTCTCCATTCGTCACATTCTTTCGTATATCTGCTTTTCGAATTAGATCCATACAAAACATGCCAAGGATTAGAAATGACCTGAATCTCAATGTTTGTCCGGACTACACATCGGATGTATTTGCCAACATCCGCGCTCAGCTAGTCAATGAAAACACGACGGAGGCTCAAGCAATGCAATTGCTTCGGAATATCTGGGAGGCGAACAATGACGCCGTCAAGGTACTCTGGCAACAACAAGTAGACGAGGACAGGGAACGCCAAGAGCAACGCCAAAGGCTAGATGAAGATGAGCAGGAGAGACTTGACCAAGTAAGGGTTGAAGAGGAAGAAGCAGCACGCAAGGAGGAGAGGAAGAAGAATAAGCATAAATTCATTCCGATACTTCAGACTGGGATTCCAGATGAACCGGCAATCACGCCCTGCTCCTACGCCCTAAAGAAGCTGGACAAAGGCGAGTATGTTGAACTATGGTACTTCACTAACGACGGTCTGGACGAAGCCAGTGTAAAAAGACCATTGACGACGATGCCATGATCCTTTCAACCCTGGCAGATGGCTCTACGGCCTGGGTCTCATTGGCATCCATGCGCAGTGCTCGCTCGGTGGTCAATGATGAAAACTTACTGTTTGAAGAATTTTGTCAAGCTTGTCCCCGTTTTCTGACCGCGATCAAAGAGGCCGAATGGCCTGAGGACAGAGTCTGGATGATGGCTCGCTTCTGGATGAACATCCAAGTTCACAAGTTTCGTTCGCTCAGAGACCCCATTGTGCAAAAGACGCTCTTAGTATACCAAGCAGAGCAGTGAAGACAATGGCACATCGCAGCGAAGTCCTTCATCGGACCCTATGATCTTTCCGAGGTCAATGAGAAGGTTCTCAAAGACACAAGGGACAGGGTATATTGGGACGAGCACAGTAAGAGAGACAATGAGTGTGATTACAAGGTCAGAATCTAATTTTAATAACAAGCAACAATTAAAACTAACCAATGTTCTTTTCTTTTAAATAAACATCAAATTTAAAAATGCTACACACGCTACACGCTACACGCTACATGCTGCATGCTTCACACTACACATTGTTTGCCACACGCTACACGCTACACCCCACCCATGGCATGCCACATCCCACTCGCTACAATATGACATCGCGTCACAGTCAAAGCACCACACCAGCTCCTCCTTGAAGCATTGTGACTGGAAGGAGTTGCGCAAGCATTCTCCCTCTCCAGATCACTTGAGCAGGTCAAAGAAGCCATGCCAGGATATTCGTGCAGGCGCAAGCGGAGGAGTCCTCTCCGCTTGCGCCATATGCCTTGGATGAAATCCACACAGGATTATCGAGTGCAAGGCAACCAGAACCTGGGATGATGCGCACGAGACTCTCTCCATGCGGATCAGAAAAATCCTTACCATGCGTGACGGGAAACCCATATGCAGCGACTGGCAAAGAGTCAATGGCTGTTCGGAGATCACTCATGACCGACATCATTTCTGTTCTGGATGTGGTGCCTCCACTCACGGTACTCAAATGTGCCCTCGAGCACAGAGGGCACAAAGCACTTACCCCATACAATCCTGAAACATGGGAGTCCAGGCTCGCAGCAGCAGGACTTACAGATAGATACTCTCATATTCCTGAAGGATTGTGCAAAGGTTTTCATCTCGATATTCCTAGCATTAGCGTCAAGCAGGTACTGCCAAACAAACAATCAATTAGTACATATCAACGAGAATTTCAGGCAATCGTGTGAACTGAACTTGAGAAAGGAAGGTACATTGGGCCGTTACGAGCCAAAGACATCGAAGAACTCATTGGTCCCTTTCAATCTTCCCCTTTCTCCATCATTCCTAAACCGGGACGCCCCGGGTGTTATCGTATCATCCAGAATTATTCATTCCCGCACATTACGTCTGCGAAGTTTCCCAACCCTTCTATCAACTCTCATATTAATCTGGACGACTTTCCCAGCACCTGGGGCACCTTTCACGTCACAGCGCTCACACTCAGCCATTTCCCGCCAGGTTCACAAATCGCCATTAGAGATGTATCAGAGGCTTATCGCACGGTCCCAATTCACCCTTCACAATGGCCTGGATCTGTCGCGCGCGTGTCAGAGGATCTTTTCTGCATCGACACGTGCATGTGTTTCAGCTTATGGCCATCAGCAGGAGCATATGGTTCTCTTGCCAATGCAGGCCTGGACCTTTTTTGCTCACGGGGAATTGGGCCCGCATCTAGATGGGTCGATGACCACTTATTCATACGGATACTCAAAGAACACATCGCAGCCTACAACGAGAAAAGACGAGAATGGCACAGGGACATTGAGGAGAGAGGGAAGCATCAGGATGGAGGTAGGACTTGGTTCGGAGGCTTCGTGTTCAAAGACGGGACCTTGGAGGAATTTGACGAAGATTGTCGATTCATGATCGTGGATCTTTCCGGCACATTGGCGAGATTGATTGAAGATGCAAGATTCTCGTTCAACCTTTCAGACGTCGATGACCTGTCAGGAGAACTCGACATACCATGGGAACATCTCAAGGACAAGGCATTTGCCTATGCTAACCAGTATATCAGTTTCATCTGGGATATTGAGAAGGATAAGGTTTATTTGGATGAAGAGAAGAAAGGAAAGTACTTGGAAGCGATCAGAGTATGGCAGAGTCGCGACATGCACGTGCTCAACGACACGCTGTAGAAACAACAATACTGAGAGGAACAAATGAATGCTCCAAACTGTATCTAAAAAATGTTGTAGGGTCGCGCTTTGCCTAGTCTGCGTTACTTGACAAGACAAGTGTGTTCGACCCTTAAGGGGAAGCAAGTGCAGCGAAGATCTAGAGGTACGCGCTGAAGCGAAGCGCTGTAGAGACTCATGCCTCTCATGGCGTGATATGGCAGTTTCCACTAAGGGAGTATACAGCACCAACTCGCAGCACCACTCTGTGTACTGTCCACAGCAATTCCTATATGAGGCGCAGCTTTCCCGCGCAATGCGCGCCATGCGCGCACCATTCCTGCGCTTGCGCGCCCTATAGTGCCAGCCATCCAGAAGCATCCATCCACTGTCCACCAAGCCCTCTAGTGCGTATATTTCCATTTCTTTTATTAGCATATCATTCCACCTTTATTTTTATCATGAATTCTCACTTATATATATCTTTACATACCTACTCAGTAGCGCTTCGGCTCCGCATGACCGTGCTTAGGCGCGCTATATAAGCGCCAGCAGTACATACTATTACTTACTTACCTTTCACACCTTACTTTTCACCCAACTTTACCTAGTACTTACTACTTAGAAAGTCGCAGTAGAAATCTATTCATTAGCACAACACATCTCACATCCTTTATCTTGCTTATATCTTCACATAAGTTTAGTCTCTCTTATTTCCGCTTACACGCGCGCGCTTTCCCGCGCTTCGCGCTAATACGCGCGCGCGTTCCCGCGCCTTCGTACCTTGCGCGCACCTGCGCTTTCTCGCGCTTCGCTGAAGTGCGTACCTCTAGATCTCCGCTGCACCTGCTTCCCCTTTAGGGTCGAATGCACTTGCCATCTCAAGTATCGCAGACTAGGCAACGCACGACCTACAACTTTTTAGATACAGTCAGGAGCATTTCTTTGTTCCTCTCAGTATTGTTGTTTCTACAACTGGAGCCCACCGCGAGGGGAGCAGTCAGCAAGATCTAGTTCCGCGCATTTCACACATACAGGTCAATCTCTTTGCAATTCAAAAGCTAATCAATTTCTAGTTACGCATTCTCACGCCTTGCGCGCGCGCCATATTCCCACGCCTGTGCGCCTCGCGCGCGCACCTTTACCGCACTTCAAATGCCTTATAGAATGCCCATCCGCGGCACAGCAAACGCGCCCAAGTTCGACGGCACTACAGACAACCTCGCTGAATTCATTGACACATATGAGCAGCTCGCTGATGAAGCAGGACTCCAAGGACTTGACCGCATCAAAGGTATTATCCGCTACCTTGCACGCGATGATCGAGAACTATGGGGAGGCATGCCAGAAGCGGCAGTAGATGATTACAGCACCTTTTTAGATGAGGTGAAGGTAATGTATCCTGGATGGGATGGTAAAAGACGCTACGCGCTCGCGGACTTGCGCGCCATCGCGCGCGAATACGCTAACAAACCAATGCCTTCTTGCACAGAACTCAGCAATTACCTGCGCGCATTCAGGAAGGTTATGCAGCCACTCATGGACGAAGACTGTATTGGAAAGGCCGAACACGACCGCTTATTCATGGAAGGAATCCCTAGTGATGCTCAGGCACAAATCCGCTTGCGCCTTATGATCAAGTTCCCTGACCACCACCCATACGACCCATATCCATTTATGGACGTCTTTGCAGCTGCGCAGTTCCTATTATCTGGGCGCGCTTTTCCCGCGCCAAGCGCACCAGTAAGCGCACCAATTAGCGCGCCCACTATAGCGCCAAACACGCCAGTTAGCGCACCAGTGGCTAAGTGCCAAGATCGCTATCACGCGAGCCACGCAACCCAGGATACGACCACCAGTACTAATGCGACAGCAGGACTCTTCTATTGCGCACCCTCAGAAGTTGCACTTGACAAAAGGCCACCAGTTCCTATTCTTGCGCCTCGCGCGCGCGCCTTTCCCGCGCCTTCGCGCAATTCACACACACCTCCACCATCAACTATGCCAGCATGCAAAGCTATACCAGACTGTATCACTCTAGATCACGAACTTGAGCGCGCGCTCGCGAAGCGCAACCAGACGCGCACTGCAGGCGCCTCTTCACCATCATCCTCAGCAGCACCATCTCCTTCACAATCCGCATCATCACCATCACCATCAATCGCATCAGAAGTCAGGGATGACTCTAAACATCTATTGCACACTAACGCGCCAGTTGAAACACGCGCACCTATCGCTAACGCATCGCGCGCGCCTACCGCTATCGAATCGCCAGTAGTCAGGGATGACTCTAAACATCTATTGCACACTAACGCGCCAGTTGAAACACGCGCACCTATCGCTACCACCTCGCCAGAAGTCAGGGATGACTCTAAATATCCATTGCACACTAACGCACTGCTAGAAACATGCTCGCCCCTCGCTATCGCATCGCTTACGGAAGAAACCTCGCCAATCGCACCATCGCCATCACCGCTATCACCACTCGCATCATCAGAGGTCAGGGATGACCCTAAAGATCTATTGCGCCTTAGCGTGCCTATAGAGGAGCCTCCTACTGCACCAGAAGCTCAAGTCACACCTCGCATCAACCAGAGTTTGTCTCTGGAAATTCCAGATGTCACTCACAATCACGCGCACATCGCGCTTTTTGCTCCTAGTGACTACCGCGCGCCAGTAAAGCATCCATGCATCACGCCATCTAACCACCAAGCAGAGTATGTCTCAGGCGACCCTGGCGCGACTCAGGCGCACCATATTGCGCCTGAGGACGCGCAACGCGCGCGCCTAGAGGTATTGTATATTTTTCCTCATCTTGTTTCGCGCTTTTTGTCCCTTTCATGTTTAAAGCTCTTAAGGAGCTATATGACGCTTCCAAACACTTTAGGTTCATCTTCGCACCACCCCTTGTTCACGCGCCATGATTACGCGCATCGCGCAATATGTGCGCGCATTCCCGCGCCTCGCGCATTCATAAATTTAGCAGAGTTTTCACATTATCGTGTTTCAATCACTTCCCCCCTTTTAAATCGCATTTCTTTCATTCAACACAAAACATATTCCAATCAGTCATCCAGGCGCGACTTAGGCGCGCGCCTGACACATACATACGCGCCTAACCCC